TTGTTAAGTGTATCATGCAGTTGTTAAGTGAATGGGAAGATCACAAATGTGATCATGTGACCCCAGCACCCTGCAACTGTCAAAAATACATGCTGGTTGCCAAGTTACTCATTTTCATCATGTGATTGTGGGGATGCTTTAGCAGTTGTACCTGCAAGAACTAGTTGCAAGTCACTTTTTTCAGTGCTGTTGTAACTTTGGTCACTAAACAAATGGTTGTAAATCAAGGACTACCTGAACAGTATAGCATGGATTAATATGGCTTCAGATTAATGCATATCTTGAGAGCATTGCTTATGTTAATTCCAGTTAATACATCAAACTGCTCAGAATGGTGTTTTTTTAATGGAATGGACAAATTCCAATCATTTCTCTTAAAACTATGACTTTCATACACTGGTTTTAATTTTGCAGATTTTAAACTACCATTAACTTGTTAAAGTAATGCTTTGCAATGAAAATATTAAAATTATGTACCATTGTGGGCTCATCTATAATCACCCTTGGACCTAGCTATAATTCCCTCAAGATAGTTAAGAGATAGGTAAGAAATTAAAATTGGACTTCAAATTTCCATGAAGCATCTCTGAAAATCTAGAACTCATAATGTTTTGGCTTTGAAAATGAGATTGAAAACAACCTTATGATAAATATTACAGAAGGAATATACCTACAAGGATTCTTGGAAGATAAATCATAGACTTCCGTTTATTTTGCCAGTTCTTAACTCAGAAGTAACCAGCTTCAAACTTTAAGTGGGCTTCAAGAGCCCGAGTTGAGGGAGGAGTCTACAGTCATACATATAAAGTCCATCTATTTGCATCCTATGTTTATCAGTTTAGAGTATATCACCCAGGTGAGCTGGGAGAACAAGCAGTTGCGGGCAATTGAGGAAGTATTTAATGATAGCAACTGGATTAGCTATTCAAGAAGATAAACTAGGAGCCAGTGAAGCTTGGTAACTTTGGGAGCAATACAGCCAAGTGGGTGAATTGTGATTAGATGACTGCAAAAGCTCAAATTAACTTTCAGAGTTCTTGGAAGACTTGGGTTGCAGTGTCAAGTATCTCTCCTGCCACAATAGAGAAGCTATCAGATGTGCATCAAGAACATGCCCTCTCTCTGCTTGATATGTCTGTGCCATGAGGCCAGCAATCATTTGACTTTTTCACCATTTAACTCTTGATTCCTTGCCGCCATCCCTTTTTGGATAACATAAATTCAAATTTAATGGCAACCCACTCATGATTCTGCATATGTACAATAATGAACAAATTCCCAGGGGATGGCATGTAAGCTAATATACAGTATTCCAATTAAAAATGTAGTTTTAGGGCTCAAATAATCCTGTTCAACTGAACCCATCCCCCTAGAATGACTGTCAGATGTTGGGTGGAATAAATAACTTATTTCTTACAAGATACTGATATCAGATGGCAAAGCCCAACAACCATGTCCACATCAAATATATTTGGCTTTGGCTTCACGTAATTTAGCGTGTGTGTGTGTGTGTGTGGTATTCAGCTTTGTTCGGGTATTTTCCCACGTCATTATAGTTGTGCTTTTAAAGTTGTAGCAACGTTTCGGCAGAATCTCATCTGCCATCATCAGGCTTCTTTATGGTGTTCGTCTGTATGTGAAACAGTGAATATATTTGAAATATATATATGTACATACCCATCTCACTATTGGTATTTAGGAATATCCCTTTCTAAAATGTTCCAGTTCAGCAGAAAGATTCAATCTACAAACACCTCTGTGTTTATGGGGCAAAAAAAAGTTTCATCTATTTATGTAAATATGAATCAGTGGAATGGACTGAAATCTTCAACATAGGAAACCCCCCACCCTTTTCTTTTTTAATTAAAAGACATTTTGGGCCCATCACCCTAAGGAATAGGGTTAATTCTTCATGTAATCCATTATCAAGAAATTCTTATTCTCCTTAGTGTATTTCACGACAATTATTATAGAGCTATGTGATTAATTTTCTGGTGAAACAGAACATCATAAAATCAATTTGTAGATACCATGGGAGTAAATGAGTGAATGTTAACTGCCAGTATTGTACAAAAAAGAATTAGGCAAAATATAGTAATGAATGCAGCATAGCTTTTGCTTTCGCAACCTTAAAAATAAAATTTGCCCAGATATATTTGCAGCCCATTACGACAAAGAAGAGGAAATGAAAAATATTTCATAGAGCAATTACATTCTGGTAATTATTAGTCATGTCAGTTTAATTTTTCAATTCTGTACAATATAATGAATTTGAATATTGTGTTACTATTTCCTACAGATCAAGTAACACACTAGAATTATGTAAATTAATGTAATAAAAACACACCCCACCATATATTAATTTTATAATTGAATTGAATGCATCTAAAATCTTTGATGAACATCCACTTTTAAATAAAATGTAGAATTTAAAATAGTTATTTGCTAATTACTATGCTATTCATTTCTTCTGCTTTTGTCAATATGCAAAAATTATTTTTCTGTTATTATCCAGAAATAGAACAGCTTCTGAAAGAATGGTGACAAGCACACATTGAAGCACCACTCAAGAGACAGTTTAAAATAGCATTTTCAGTGTATAAAAGATGGAAACAGATTTCAAGTAATTAAAAAAACCCTATCTACAATACAGCCATTTCTGTCCAGCTTTTTTTTAAAAAATCATTTAAAATGGTTAAGTTAGTGCAACTATAAGTTACAAATCCATATTGATTCCTGACATTTGCAGGCTCCAACTGAGTAAGGGAGTACCACTTGGATCATAAAGTAAATAACAACAGAATACAGGCGCACCATCATTCAGGAGATGCCTCTGCCCATTATGTCCTGGTGTAATGCACTCTGATGTCCTAACAAAGTATACATGTTTCTTTACTCAGAACAAAGTGATGGCTTTCCCCCTATGTTTTGAACATTGCCATATGAACAGCATTAGAAAGAAATTGAAGCATACAAGAAATAAACTATAGTTTCTTTTTATATCAAAATGTACTCTTGAAAATGTGTTTGGCACAGTGCTAAATCATATATAGTTAATACTAAATATTGCAGGATACAATAAAACCCTGGAGTTAACTTGTGTTTACACCCTTGTAAGGGATAAAGATACCAATTATTCAGAAATCACCCTATACAAACTGTATAAACAATATTTATGTCTTGCTTTGAAAACCACTGATATAGTAAATTTTACATAAAAGACTGGAAAATAATATAAATGGATTTAAACATATCTTTACAATAAGAAATTCAAATGGAAACAGACAAGTAACAAAGAGAAGTAAAAAAATTTATTGCAGTATTCGTTCCACCAGATTTGCTGGGGATCCCTTTTCTTGTATTATTTCAGGGTGACCTAATACATCAAAAATCTACATTTACAAAAACTCCTCCTGCAGGTAGGTCATAGATACTGCATGCTTTTTTCCCCCAACAGAATAAATTATATATCCAGGAAATTCTGCCATTTTACAGCCTGGAAAAACGATGCTTTCCTTGAAACTGGGCTAAGCTAAAGAAAGCCATCCGCTGCTAGGTTAAACTCCAAGAACACTTTATTAAGAACATTAACAGACTAATTTCCAACATTCACTTGTTTTATTTTTTTTTTAAACAGAAAGGTTTTTTTTTCAAGATATAAACATTTTTTCGTTAAACTATTATACAGTGGGAGTAAAAATGAACTGAGAAGTTTCTGCTGCACAACAGCGAAGGAAGCTCCCACAAAAATGTTTACCAAACATTTCCTTCTGTTTCCTGCATCCCAGGTGTCATTCTTACTCTTCATTAAATTGATAAATTTTTTTTGCCAGAAAGTTGGTAATTTCAAGTTTTTTTTTCTGTTCTTTCCTGTAAAATTTGGCTGCATGTGTACAAATGCATTATTAGCTGGAAGTTCCATCCTTGGCGGCATACAGCGATCGTAAAGTCTGAACAACTTTATTAGTCAGCTTATTAGCACTCGTTAGAGCAATTTTTTTGTAAATAATGTCTGACTCTTTGATAGTGTCTACCCAAGGCACCAGTTTGCGGCCATCACGGCGCTTAGCCTCAGTCCAGGAGCCACTGTAGGAGCCTGCCATCCATTGAACACTGAAGCCATTGCTGGTTTTCTGCACTACTCTTGCAATTTGTGGTCGATCTTTGTACTTTGGACAGCAAATAGCGATGACATCCATGACATCAACACTTTCATTCATCTGTGCTGCCAACTCCGTAGAGTCTGAATTTCGTTTTGACCTTCTCAATGACTAAAACATTGGAGGGGAAAAAAGACCAAGTGTTACACAAAAGAACTTGATTGAAATTATTGCTTTTATTGCTTTTAATCCCTTGACGCCGGGAGTTGGGATTTTCCGGCACACATTCCATTGCCGGCAATGAGACGCGACCGCCAGCGCCAAGGGGTTAACATATCCTTGCAAAATCACATATTTTAATTTGTACCCGTCTCTTTAAACTCTTATTGATATATAAAATTATATATACAAATGAATCATAAAGCTACATAAAAACTTGGCAACAATAAAAAGGTTACACACAATACATTCCAAAGGAAATTTTTTATACTAGATATAATCTATGTTTTTATTGTTTTTGTTAAAACTTTCTACAAAAAGTTGTATAAACGGTTAAGAATTTCTATCTACAATTTTTATATGCATTACATTACTCAATGTACATTTTATTATAGACTGACATTTATAAGCACATAAAATCATTTTACGTAATACGCTGCGAAATACGTTGACTCCTCCTCCGCCTCACCCCTGAAGTGCCTCCTCCTCTATCCTCCCCATCACTCTCATCCTCCTCTGTCTCAGCTGCATTGTTCCTAGGGCTGCCACCTCCGAGCAGCGAGGTAATAGCTTTGTTGCGAGCATTTGTGCTTGCTGACACTTCCCCGTCTTCTTCCTCTTCATCAGGATCCAAATGTTCCATAAGAAGTTTGAACTAAAAAAAGAAGGGGAGGGGGGAGGGGAGAAACTGTTTTAGGAGGAATATGCCAATTTTTTAAAGCTGAAATGATCTGTTACAAAATTTTGTTTTCTTTCTCAGACAAACTAATTAGAACAGTGATCCCCAACCTTTTTGATGCCGCGGCCCGGTACCGGCATCAGCTGGGCGCCACGGCCCGGTACCGGCATCAACTGGGTGCCGCCATCTTTTTTTGATGAAAAAGTGCTTCCGGTGAGCTTTCTACCCGGAAAAGCTCACCGGAAGCACTTTTTTTATCAAAAAAAATGGCGGCGCCCAGCAACCAGCGGCCCGGTAAGACTTGTTCCGCGGACCAGTACCAGTCCGCGGACCGGCGGTTGGGGACCCCTGAATTAGAAGACAAAAAAATATACTTGGTCTTTTCATTGTTGGCAGCTCCAGCCAAGCTACAAAATAGTTGAAGCATCTCGCCCCTTCCTCTCAACCCATCTATAGATAATGTGCAGTTCAAAAATTATGCATAATTCTGTGCAGAAAAGCTTTTGGGGAACTGGCTCTAATTACAGAAGGTATGTGACATATGGACATGTACCACGTTTCCCTGAAAACCACAACCTACTCCAAAAGTAAGTCCTAGCTTGATTTTTATACGCGCACCCAATATAAGCCCTACCCCCCAAAAAATAAGCCCTAATTCAGTTCCCACCCACTACAGGGTGCATGGGTAAAAATTAGGCTAGGGTGGGGATGTGGGAGGGGATGGAGCTGCCCTACTACTTACCTTCAGACAGTTGCAGCCAAGCTTCACATACCCCGACACCTGTTTTGCAGGCTATTTCTTCTGCAACCAGCAAGGCTTTCCCAAAGGCCTGTGCAGCTGATAACAGAACTCTGGATCAATCTGGAGCTTTGTTATCAGCTGCAGAGGCCTTCAGGAAAGCCTTGCCGGCCACAGAAGAAGAAGTTCCTGAAGGCCTCTGACAGCAAAAAAAGGAGGCCAGGGGTGATGCAGATAAGTGAGGTGAGTCAGTGGACAACATCCGCCGCCACCCCTCACCCAGAAATAAGACCTGGTGCCTTTTTGATGGCAAAAAACAAATATAAGACAAGGTCTTATTTTCGGGGAAACACAGTAGCAGGTGAAGAAGAATTCCAGAACATAAAATTTGCCTTTTAAAAAACAGTTATGCACCAAACACTATGGTTTGTCTTTGTCCCTGCAATACTTGGTTCTCAGTGGTCTCCCTCCAGATACTCAAAAAATGGGCTGACTGAAGAAAATGGTCGTTAAATTATAATCGGGACACCTAGATGCATGTCAATCTGTCTACATTAAGTGACGTTTCAACTTCCTTGTTGAAACCTCTGCTTTGAAAAACAGACATGCCCAGAATCTGGAGGAGAAAACAAGATCCTAGGCAATAAGATAATAGTGCAGGAACCAGTTAGTCTGCTTTATATATTCCTAATTTTTCTGTTTCTGATGGGGTCAGATTTTAGTTGGCTTATCCCTGGACAACCGAACCATATTGCATAGTAAGAAAAGTGAAAAGGCTAATTTATTATGTGTCACAAAACTTTAAAATAAAGAAAATTTGAACTAAATCATCAATGCTTCTAGAAATGGATTCTAATACATTTTTTATTTAAAATACTGTACATTTCATTCATTAACATAGATTTTTATGTTTTCATATACTGTACCACTGTGATTTGTATGATTAAAGCAGTTCAAATATATAAATAAACATGCCAAGATATGCAGCTTCTGATTCATTCTGATTCTGATTTATATAGCCATGATGATCTACTTTAGTTACTTAAAACCATTTTATCTAATGGCACAGAACTGCACAATAGCACTAGCAATAACAGACTACAATAAGCGCTATTGCTATTGCTAGACTTATATACCACTTCACAATATTTTACAGCCCTCTCTAAGCGGTTTGCAAAGTCAGCCTATGGCCCCCAACAATCTAGGTCCTCATTTTCCAACCTCGGAAGGATGGAAGGCTGAGTCAACCTTGACTCAGTCCAGTCAGGACTGAACTCTTGCAGTGAGCAGCGATTTAGTCCTGCAGTACTGCATTCCAAGCATCATATGCCACCATGCCTCCTGTGCTACAATTACAAGTAGTTCCTGACTTACAACTATTACTTAGTGATTCTTTGAAGTTATAACAGCACTGAGAAAAGTGACTTATGGCTGTTTTTCACCCAAACCTTGTAGCATCCCCTGGTCACGATAAAAATCCGGGAATCTGACAACTGTGCCAGTTGTATTTATATTTGCAGTGTCCTAGGATCATGTGATCACCATTTGTAGCCTCTACAGCTGGCTTCTGACAAGCAAAAGCAATGGGGGAAACCAGATTCACTTAACAACCACGTGATTCACTTAAGAACTGCAGTAATTCGCTTAGCAACTATAGCAAAAAAGGTTGTAAAATGGAACAGAACTCACTTACCAATTGTCTTGCTTAGCAACAGAAACTTTGGGCTCCTCATCATAAGTCAAGGACTACTTGCATACATATTTTTTTCCTTGTATAAAGATATTTTATGGGTTCTATAATCATTTCACATTTAATTTGATACCTATCTCATTTCACACCTGTGGAAAAAGTCTATCTTCAGCCAGTAGTAAATAGTGATGTTTTAAATAGTGAAAACTTACATCTAAGTATTGTTTCACTATATTCCTCTTCACATCTTCTGTGAGCCTGGAATTAGCCATATCACTTCGAAGGAAGTCCAGCGTTTGTTTTGGATGAAAGTGAATTCCTGCTTTTCTGTTTATCGCTTTATCATAAACTTTTGCCGATTCAGAAGGTGAGTATTTCTGAATTTTACTAATAAAACAAAATAAATGTTGTAAGAAAAATTCCAGTGTACTTTAAAGGAAACAATAACAACAGATATTCAGAATTGGTCAAACATTTTTAACATTATAAAAACAAATGTTAAATATTTAAGTATTATTGATTCAAGTTCCCAAGAATTCAGTCCCAAATACACTCTCACCAATTTATAAAACATAGGTAGTATAAGCAAAACTAAAATGGTCCTTACGTATCAGAAAATCCGCACAGGTTCTTCAAATGCTGTTTCAACATCAAAAGCAACAATATGCCCTGGGAGACATTTGCAAATTCAATCAAAGGAGCTGAATTGTCTGGCAAACATTTCATGACTGCATTTATATCATTTTCTTCATCAGTGTCTGAATCAGAACCTGCACGTTTTCGTGATTTCCGGGATTTGTGAATTTCCTCCTCGCTTTCACTGTCACTTTCACTATTGCTCTCACTTTCACTTTCTTCATCAGAGGAAGGCTTTTTTTCTTTTTTATATTTTACCATAGACTGAAAGAGACACATGTGCTTTAGACTACTAACAATACAATAACTTTTCTGCAATTTCACATTTTAACATATTTCTCACATTTGAAATAGCAATAGCATTTAGACTTATATACCACTTTATAGTGCTTTACAGCCCTCTCTAAGCGATTTACAGAATCAGCCTCTTGCCCCCAACAATCTGGGTCCTTACCCACCTCGGAAGGATGGAAGGCTGAGTCAACCTTGAGCCTGGTGGGATTTGAACTGCCAAATTGTAGGCAGCTGGCTGCAGAAGTAGCTTGCAGTACTGCACTCTAACCACTGCGCCACAGAGGCTCCTCAACGAATACTTGTTATGAAAAATGTGATGACATTTTGTGCAACGCCACATCAATATTGAAATATATACATGAGCACTCAGGGATTTCATTTTCAATTTGGAATATAACTGACATGTTCCACCAAGGAGACTGCTTAACTTCATTACTGACAGTCCTTTGCAGCACTTAGCATGCCTCTTCTCACTGAATACAGCTATTTTTTATATCTAAGATCTATCAGAAAAATAACTATTAAAATCCTCATGAATTCTCTGTAGGTATTATTAAACACTTTCTGAAAAATAAATGAAGGCTCTGAGTAAAACATCTGACATTAGACTATTTCACTCATTACATGAAGCTTCTTCACTTTTTGCTTTGCACATCGATCGTAAATATTATATGAAGCAAACTACACATATGAGGAAGTTGGCTTCTTGTGAGTTTGAGAGATCCCTCAGCAATGGATCCCATGAGAAGAATCCATATTACTGGCTCTTGTCTTCATACTATATGGGTATCATTACATGAAAGTAATCATTATTTGTATATGCATGTCACTGTGTGTCTGTGTGTGAGTAGGAAAGAGGGAGGGAGGGGAAGGGGAGGGGGAAAGGGAGGGGGAGGAGGGAGGGAGGGAGAGAGACTGAGACTTCAGAGCTTATTAGCCCCAATCCTATTAGCATATATGTAGGTTTTGAAGACCTAGCTGTTCCCTAAGCGTTGTGGACAGAATGTCAGATGAATGTAAGAGATAGTCTTCATTGGTGCATCTTGATTATATTTTGTTGCAGATGAGGATTTTCATTCACTTTTTGTCAGTGTTATTATTACGATTTGCCTCCCAGAGTCATATTTTTTGTGAGTTGGGAGTCATAAAAATCCATAGTTTTGGTGTGTTAACATTAAATACTCCTATTGAAAAATAACCAATTAATGTAAAACATTCTATATATTTCAGAAAATGACTCAATTTTTTTTCTTTTTATAATCCTGTCATCTCTTAATTTGGGATAGAGTTGGACTGACTGGATGGAGCTGAGAGTTCACTAACCAGATGCCCTTCCTTACACCTTCCTGACAGCTGATGAAGGGTCTGAATTAACATTTTTTAAAATGTAGTTTATAAATAAAAGGCCGCCTCTATTAAATTTATAAACTTAAAAATTATAACTTTCTGAGAATTTAAGATTGAAAGACTGCACTAAATTACTTTTTGAGTTTAAATTTATACAAAGATATTCCTTTCATCTTCTCTGTTACAGTTTTTGGTCAATTTCACAGACAAAATTAAAATTATTCTAGAACTCTGTAGGCAGTAGATACACTATTTTGATCAATGCAGGTACATTGTCTTAGTTTGGATATCTGTCCAAGATTCTACCTTCCAATCTTTTAGTACAGATTGAATTATTGAATTATGCGTAAGAAATAACTTATCAAAAATAAAGATTTTAAAAGACAATTTCACTAACCTCTTTAAATGACTGTAGAAGGTTGCTACCAGAAACTGATAATGTAATATCTATATGGTGCATTATAAAAAGTGGCTCTTCTTGGGTTTGGTAAGGAAAACAGGCCAGATTATCTGCTATATACAAAAGCATATTCACCTCTGTTTTCTGTTAAAATAAAAAGATATATAGATATGTATATAAAAGACATAACCATTCAAACCCATATTCTATGTACAGTGGCTAGATTTATCTAATACTTTTAAGTAACTGGGACATCTGGCAGGAAGGAATTCACTATTCTATTCATACCCTTCCAAATAGTGTGTCAATGGCACAGCAAGCACTGGAGGAAACTTCTTTAGACCGAGAGATCAACAGATAATTACAAATATAAGTAGTCCTCATTTAGTGACTGCAATTAGTTCCA